AAGATTTATTATTTTCTTATTACAAGAAATAATTAATAGTAATAAGCAAATTTTTTTTTTAATTTTATTTTGAAGGTTAAACATTTAAAATACAAGTCCTTTTTAATATATATTAATTATTACTAATCTTTGCTTTGTCATCAAATATGTTTAATATGTTATAATAAAATCATTTTTAATATATATTAATTATTATTAATCTTTGCTTTGTCATCAAATATGTTATAATAAAATCATATCTTTTTTTAACAGTTATTAGTAGCTTGGTAAAGATATAGTTTGGATTAAAGTATCATTTGAAGTAATACCTCTTTTCAGATGGGCTACCTTCACTATGTCCATATCTATAAATAAATGAATAAAACCAATGAGCCAAAAATTATTATTAAATTATATTTATGAATTATATAATATAATATAAATACCCTCTGTAAGTAAGCAAAACAATATTACACTTGAAATCGTAATAAAATTTGGACACAATTATCGAACGTTGCCCCTATTTGTATAGAAAAAATATATAATATTTAAAATATATATAATGTATAATATATTAGTTATTTTGGCTTTTTATTAAGTCCAAATTTTTAAATTTTACTGAACTATATTTCCACGGTTTCCCTATTAATAAAAAAAATAAAGTAAATTGGTAAATTTAAAATTATAATACTCCTTCTTCTAATAAATTAATTAAATCGTATATACATACAGGCAAGGCTAAAATCGTTGGTCTTTGAGAAGCCTCTTCATCAGTAGAGCGTTTGCAAAAATAAGCCTTAATTTTGAAATTATCCTTGGTAATTAATGTTTCTTCTGTGAATGGAATTCCTTCTTGTGTAGGCTTTCATATTTTTTTAAAAAAAAAAGTATTAGAAATTGAAGTTTTATAATAACAAAATAGTATTAAAAGTTCTTACTAATTGTCTAGATTTTTTACGATATCCAATTGGATAAAGCAGTTCAGTTTGAAAGATATAAAGTAAAGTTCCTGAACCAAATAAAAATGCTGCACTGACAGCACTAACAATTATATAAATTGTCAATGGCATTCTTTTCCTTATTTCCCTTATTTCTTTCTACAAATGATTAAAATACCATTTTATCTGTAAATATTGATATTGATCTACAATATTAATAAACCAATAATAGAGTTACATTATTGCCATGTAATATACCTCAATTTAAAATTAGAAAATGGGCGATCAAAGAAACAATGCAACGCAACGTTCAAGATAGAGTTAAATAAATAACCTGTTATAATCCTAATCAGGAGTATTGTTATTA